TGCATCCACCCGGGGACTGGAGTCTAGCTCTGATCTCTTCAATCATAACTACCCACTTCCTCCTTCTCACAACCCACACACACCTTGATTTTTTTTTTTACTGCCCATCAGGCTGCGCTGTTGGAGCAGCAGCAGAAATAAGACATTTCAAATCTATCAAGCTGAAGTGATTGTAGGTTTTATGGAGGGTTTTTGCTGAATAATTTAAACGTGCAAAGGGTCTGTCCTCTTGTCGCTGCTTTTCATTTATGGCCAGGATTAAAGTCTGGACAAATTAGGATTACCTCCCTTCTCTCTGCTAGTCAGCTTCTTATCTTGTTCAGTCATGACGGTGCAAAACCAGACAGCAGAACCGTGTGTGTGTGTGTGTGTGTGTGTGTGTAATTGTGGGGTTCCCGGCAGACTGTGTGTCCTCTTGATGCTCCAGACTTCAGGGGTCAGAGGTGAATGAGTGCAGACTCAAACACAGACAGATATTGGTAGTCATGAGGAGGGAGTCCCTTCCCAAACCCTGTCTTCTTCTTCTTCTTCTTCTTTTTTTTTTCTAAATTGTACTCCAATTTTGCTGCGTCAGTCCTGTGACAGTTACATCTTAGGAAATCTCACTGTCCTTGATGATCCAGACTGTGAAAAATATGACAATTTGACTCTGTCTCTTTTTTCTGCATCACTAATTTCCTGTGTCTTCTTGTCCTCTTGCAGATTGATGGCATTCTGGAGAGAAAAAAAAACATCTCTGATTGGCTGCATTTGACTCAAAAACTGGAACAATTGAAGCTTTTTTGTTGTTGTTGTTGATTTTCTGCTGCTTGCTGATGTATGGGTTAACAATCCAACATTCAAAAACACTGTCAAAAAACTGTAAATATCAGACATTTATATACATATAAATATATATTTGTTGTTTCCACCAGCTGTGCCTTGAGATGTTTTACTGCAAACCAGCAAATGTGATAATAAATATATTGAAATATATCAAAATTTAAGTGAATCTTGCTTTTTGTTTGTTGAGAGAAATCAACAATTGCGTGTGCATTTTTACACAAATTGTTATAAAACTGTTTCATTGCCGTATTCGATGCTGTTTTTCTGCTATTAGCAAGGAGAAGATTTTTTTCTCCAGAGTCACTGACTGTTTTTTTGTTTTTTTAAATCTGAAAATCACAACAAACTCTGTCTAGATGTTAAAGTTAGGTCACTTTAAAATCATCCTGAGGTCTTCCTGTACCGTCATTTCCTAAAATTCTCCCTCCATCACGTATGTTAATCTGATGACTAAAATATTAGACACACTTAAATGTAATACAGTCCAATACACCTGTCATCAATAATAAACACATTACAATCATCAACATTTGACAAAACCCCCTGAACATTTAGAGGATTTGTAAAAGTAGAATTCATCGTAAAGCTCTTTGTAATGGATTAGATTTCACAGGTGTACCTAATAAACTGGTGTATACATGTGGTCAGTAAAGTAAACATTAAGTTTCACTATTATTTTCTTCTCTAAAAACTAAATGCATTTTTATTCTAAAATATCTAATAATGCTGTAATAATAATGACACGATGCTGCCACATTTGTAGTTAGAGCAGCAAAAATAAAAATAAAAATGTGTAATAATATATTTTAGGACACACCGTTAACGGGGATTTTCTCCAATAAATTAAATTAATTCAAGCCCATTTTTCTTAACTTTAAAACTAACAGTTACTGTCACATAAAGCAACAGTTAAGAATTGAGTAGCTTTAAAAAAAAATGTGTTTAAAAAACAGATTTTTTCCCCTAAACTTGTGTTATAGCGTTAAAAGACTGCTTTTTTTTGTTGTTGTTAAAGTTGATTTGTTTTATTTTTTTTCCCTATTGGTGCAGAGAAATAGACATCTTACACTAATCTGCAATATTACCAAATGAAAATTATAATTGCTGATTATTCCACAGGCCCACAGGAGCTACCTGAGCCACTGTACAGGCTCCTTAATTATCATGCTGTTCGTTAACCCTCATCCAAGACTTACTATTGAATAAGCTTTAAGGGCAAAACTGCAATAAAAAAGGGTTTTTCTACTGATGCTTTTTCATGTGATTAAAAATAAAAACAGCAACTGATAATTGTAAAAGTAGGATTTCCCTTAACTTGAGGAACAAATTCAGGCCTACATGAAGCAGGCCTAAAGACAGTAGGTGTGTAGGATTTTAAAAATAAATTAAAAATAGGATTTTAAATGCGTTAGAAATTTGTCAGGTAATTAAACGAGAAAAAGAGGAAGAACAAGATCTGGTTTTACAGTTCTGAGCTACGAAATCAAATAACACGGTTTTCTAACATTTAGCTTTGTGACACCATTAAATAAAAACAGCCTGCTATTAATAATGTCCCCCAGAATAGCACATGTATTTTTCATCAGGCGTAAGTAGGTTAACGCAATATTTTAAATCAATTTCCACTGGGTTTAGTTTTTTTGTAAATGTAAAAAAAAAAAAAAAAGAAAGAAAGAAAGAAAAAGAAGAAAGAAATTAAAATAGAAGAAATGGTTCTTTTAGAGAGAGAAAGAGAGAGAGAAGAGGGGACTGTGGGAGCAGCCATCATCTGAATAAATGCAAATTGGCTCTGCCTCCATCCGGCATCATGCCAAGTATCTATAGCAACCACATCCTCTGACAGCCTCCATCCATCCCTCCCTCCTTCACTCTCTAATTAGTCCTCTATCTTCCCTATAGCTGCTTTCTTCTACTGCTTTTTTTCCCTTCTTCTTTCAAAAAAAATCTCTGCACAAAGAAGCTGGTCCGGTTCATGAAAGAAAACCTGGACTAAACGGAATATTTTGATTAACAAAGACGCTGAATGAACAGAAACGCCTAGTTGACAATAAAAAAAAAATGTCTTTAAACGGGAAAAAAAGGGGGGATTTCTTTTTTTTTTTCCTTCTCTCTACAAACCTGACACACATCTTACCTCGCCCGTCTTCGGTATTTTCATAATTTCACTCGTTTTTTTTTAATCAGTCCGGTTTGCTCTCAGGTCGTTTCTTCTTCGGGTTCATGTGTTGCGTTCACGGTCAAGTTCACGGCGGCGGCTCGGCCTCGGGCTGATCGGCAGCAGCTGCAGCGGCTCCATCTGACCCAGCTCACCTCCCGCCTGCAGCTCCAGGAGCCGGACTGCAGCGCCACCTGCCGGCCAAAGTCGGGCACCGCAGCCCGAGGAGGAGGCCGCCGGTTGGTGGTGACGGAGCGCCCTCTAGTGTCAGTCCGCGGTCATCACACACACCACGTGTCCTCGGAGTAAACAAAGACACCTGGTTGGTAGAGGAGGCCAAAAGGGACACACATACGTGAATAAACAAATAAACAAACGGAGTTAACTGAAAATAAATACTTTTTTGTCCATCTTTAATGCAGAATTGTTTATTTTTCCTTTGACATATTTGTTGCACTCATTTTACTCATAATGGATGCATTCATTTAATATATTCATTTAATATTATATATATATATATTTAAATATACATCTTTATTTTATTGTTGTTATATGTGTTCGTGGTTACATTTAATTTTTAAAACCTTTTATTCACATTCATTTTTACACTTTTCTTATTTTCAGCCATTTAATTGCATATTAGGCTTAATTATTGTCTTCCTCATAATGACCAGTAGGCACGTGTAAACAATCTGCTTCAAAAGTTATTGTACCAGCATGTATTCTAAATATGCTTTCCATACCTGCCAGCTTTTAATAAAAATGCGACACTGTAAATGCTGTTTTTGATATATTGTGATATGTTTGTGTTGATAGGATTCTTTTTACACACAGACAGAAAATAGAGAGAGAAAAAAGAAAAGATTAATTACCTGCTAATGTTGGTCCTCGACATGACATCTGGACCTCCTCTTGCTCCGAAAAAAAAAAAGCCAGAAATATGCAAATATATCAACTTTTTTTTTTTTCAAAAGATTAATTAGTGGCTACAAGATGCCTCCTCCATCAGCGGCTGTTAAACTTTTTTCTGCAATATTCCTCTTCAGAATTTTTAACAGCCATCCTATGGTCAGCAGCACAAAACATTTTTGGTAGGAAAAACAAAGGACAATGTAAAAACATGCAATAAAGGGCTGCGACAATATAGTCCAATGAATTACACAACCACCTTGTAACTAAAACAAATAAAAATAATTATCAGTATTTTATTTAACCTTTATTTAACCAGGTTATTGAACTCCAGGATCTCTAGGACTAGGGTGACCTGGCCAAGAAGGCAGCAGCACACGTCAGAACATACGTGGCAAGATCATTTAAAACCATCACACATGAATAACCAAAAACACATGAATTTATTGGAAACATAATTTTCCATTATGCAATGACACCAAGACAAATTATTGACTAAAAATACCAAACATGAAATGTGCTTAATCTAACTTAGATTTACACTTTTGATTGGACTTACCTTTAACTATTTATATTGTAGAGCAGGGGTGTCAAACTCTGGTCCTTGAGGGCCGCAATCCTGCATGTTTTAGATGTTTCCCTTCTTCCAATACACCTCATTCAAATGATCAGCTCATCGTCAAGCTCTGCAGAAGCCTGATAACGATCCTGATCATTTGAATCAGGTGTGTTGGAAGAGGGACACATCTAAAACTTGCAGGATTGCGGCCCTCCAGGACCAGGATTGGACACCCGTTATAGAGTCAGACTGATGAACATTGTGTAAAAACCTGCGTACAGCCTGCTGTACTCCAAAGTACCAGCAGAGGTACTCATAGCCCTGTTTGAGGAACATTCATCTACAGAATTAAAAGTCAACTCTGCATGTTTGAATGAAGGAGCTTCCAGTTTCCATCACACACAGCTGTCAGTTTGCCTGTTGGAGCAGGTACTCACCTCAAACTCAGGTTCCACACATCTGTAATGAAAACATCAACATCAAACAGTGACGACTCAAACTCCACAAACACCAACAGATGTTAAAATCAATGAAATAACAAACACCAGTCGATCTGTTGTCAACATCCAGTTTTATTTGAGAATTTGATATTTCAGAACTTTCCTACAGATACACCATCATCACGACAGACTGGACACGGGGTGGGTGTGGTTATTAGCAGGTACGTTTACATTCAGTTGGCACGAATCACCGGGATTTACAAAACAGACGCTGCACTGAAATAGAACCATACGAGATGATCTGCTGCAACACACCAATACAGTAGATGTCTGCATGTCCGCGCACCCGCAAAGAGGGTTCCAACGGGTACACTAGATTTAACAAGAGGAAACAAAATCACAACCTGCACCGTAGTAGTCGTCGTAGTGTTTCACTATTTCTTCTCATTAAGCCACTGTTATCAAAGATTAGTCACTAACAAAACATACAACATTTTTGGCATTTAATGATTGTCTGGGAGTTTTCCCCAAGTTCCTACAGACTCTCCCCGTCAACGTGTGCTTCACTACCTCCTTTAAATCTAAAGATAGATCACAGCGAGATAATAACTTCACAATTATCGTTATGTTCTTCCAATTCAAATCAGGGCACAAGAAACAGTAAATGTGCTGTTAAATTCTTCCTACATTCCTTTGAATTAGTCCTAAACTTGTTGGAATGGATTGGGAACCGAGAATCACATTTGTCACCGTAGACAGCGATATTCTGCAAGGCAGTTGAAGTTTTACAAAATTCACATACAAAAAAACTGGACCTGAAGTGATACATTCAGTCACTGAGTCTAACGATCCCCAAACCTTCGAAACCCTGTGCTGCCTCTTAAAAAGTCGTAACCTCGAGACTGAAGCAAGGCTAGAAAAATGGAAGCAACCTTGAAAAAAAGGTCAGTAGAAGTAGCTCAGTCATAGTAAAAACGTTACTATTCCTCGCTAGGCACTTAAGAGTCACTGACTACCCTTCGTTCAGCTTTTAGTTCCTGTGTACTTTCAACCAAGCGGCTCTCTCGCAGACAGAGGATGTGCTGGTTGCAGACCAGTCACTGATCCAGGTTTGCTTCCTGCTACCTAAGGCAAGGGGTAAAGACAGCCAGCTGAAACTTGCATCTGCCTGCAGCTGATAGAACAGATGCGTGGGCGCCGCAAAACATCAAACTCGAGAGCGTCACCTGTCAATTCACCTGCCAGCCTCTCTGCTCTGCTGCAAACCATCAAGGTATTCTACTGTTTGCTGCTCCGGTGTTCACCAGAACGCTACATTTATCCTGTTTGAAAACGATCACGACACCCACGAGCACAAGGAGAAGACGTGGATGAAGGTCAGACGAAGGCAGGTTGGAGGACAGCTCATCAATAAGGGCTGCAGTGGTAAAACCCATTGGATGAAGCTGGAAATGTTATTTTATACTGACCACACTGTGAACACTGAAAGCTGTTTTTGCTTAGATGTGTTGTCTTTTTTTTAGTTTTTTGCTCAAATCTGAAACAGTTTGTGATTTTTTAAAAAACAATATTTAAAGGAAATTGATGTCTGTGCTGGAACTCTGTCAAATCTGCACTAGCAAGAAAAAAAGACATCAGCCTTAATACTGGAACAGTCACTGGATGAGTCAGTTGGTTAGTTGATAAACATCGATTCCAGTTGTGACGCTCAATTGCAGGTTTACACAGTGAAAACACTAACCTACTTACTGTTAGAGATTCACAAGAGTCCCTTTTTTCTGCCCAATAATATCTCAAAAAACATTATTTTATTAGGTTGTCTGCCGGTGACAACACTTGTCAACATCAAAACTGACTTCTGGCATCTTGTTAAACAGATTTATCTTGTGATTATTCACTGAAACTTAACTTTAATCACGAATAAAAAAAATTCATTTGTGCAGCCCTGATTGAAAGTTAAAAATTCAAATCATATATTTTTTGTAATCATTATTATTTTCACCTGTTGATACTCATTCGAAGCTTTTCTCTGGTACAGATGACACTTTGTGTCCTCTGCCCCACTTGGCTCGGCATTCAGCTGCTGGCTCGGCTCAGCCATCCTGCCTCGGCATGTGTGGTCTAAGTATAGAAGCTATTGACACTCTTAAGCCTGCATCAATACTGTCAAAATGTTAATCTGTCTCACACAAGTCCTGTGTTCGTTTTTTGCCATCACTCCACGTAACACACTGATATGAGACAATTGGACAAACATTTGATTTTGTGTTGAGGTAAAAAAAAAAATACTGAGAATGCCACAAAAAAAAAAAAGGCGCTAAATTATGCCGGTAACAGAACTCGAATGATCCCTTCACGTTTGCATAAATCCAGTCGAGTTAGTCTGTCAGCAAATACTGCTACAGCTGTACACTGCGAGTTTTAAAAAGGTGTTTCAATAACCTGTCACAGTCTGTGAAGTTTGGAAACAATACAGGCTTGAATGGCGGTTATGAAGACGGAGCACGCAGCTGCCGCACTGACAGCAAATGGAAGACAACATTTGTGTGTACTCCGTGTGTGTGTCCAACACAAGCGACATACACATGAGGGTGACAATATTATGCCTCTCAGTATATTGCAATCCAAAACAACTTCTTGGCGAAAAAAAAAAATGAAATCACCCTATGTATTTAAAGCGACACCTCTCACCCAGCGTCAGGTAGTGTTCAGTGAGGGCTGCTGTTTTGGATTCCACAAGACAGAGTTCCTACTAATCTGTCAAATCAGAGTAAAGGATCTCACTTTTGGAGAACTACTTATCAAACTGCTTGATGTGCTTTACTTGCATGTCAAAAGGAGGTTAAACTAGAGTGAAGTCTGCATTGATACAACAAATCAGTCTTTCATAAAGCCCACGATATGATTACAGTGAAAACAAACATAAAACAATATGGGCACTCTTCAGATCTGTTGGCACTGACCAAAAAAAAAATATAGCTCATCTGTCTGCTGTCACGGCTAAACTACTAATAAAGTTGTGAATTCAATCCTCAGGAGCGTCTGTTAACGATACCGGACTCATAGAGGTTTTAATATATTCAACTCAAACAAAAGCAAAACTACCTGATAGGAGTTAGGAGCTGCTATAAATCTCTGCGACGGGAAATGCTAAAGTCTCACTAAAACATACGAACATCATATAATCTGCAGCTATGAGATCATAATAACCTTTGGTGTAATTTGTAAAAACAAGCTCTGAAGAAAACAAATCTCAAGGGGGCATAGTTTTCTTTACTCTTAATAAATGAAATGCTTTGTAAAATTAGATAACCAAGAGTGAAATCTGCATTGCAGTGTCTTTTTTTTCAGCAGACACACGGCAACTGGGAGACCTGTGTGTGTGTTGTGTGTGTGTGTGTGTGTGTGAGAGCCTCTAAACTATCTGATAAATGCATTTAGAGGACTGAGGGGTGTAACACGAAGCAAGTCGTCTTCTTCAGACTGTACGCGAGCATAAACGTGACTGGAGAGCTATGAAGAAATGTATTAATTCAAACGTGATACCTAGGAAGTGTGTTTAGGTCTGGTCTGTCCTATCATAAAGGATATGTAGAAATCACTTCTGGTGAAACCAAAGTGAAATTAATGTTGTGTGATGAATACCAACGGACAACCCAATTTCCTAATCAGTGTTGTATTAGCTGCAGCACCAGCAGTGTAAGATGGACTTGGCAAATCAGGACCAAGTACAGATACACATCTTTGCATTTTCTGCATCACCAGCTGAATGCATGTAGAGTTCCCATGGCAACGCAATAAATACAGTTTGCATTACTGTAACGGCGCAGCTTCATTCAGTGGGATTGCTATCGTATAGCTTCACAGGTTTGCAGAAAAAGCACGTTAGCTTAGCTGAGAATCTGCGACAGATCGGGAAATTAATTGGTACATTCCTCGCTAACCCATAAATCTGACTTTGTAGTACACCCCTCTGGTTCACGGGGGGTAGAGGGATTGCAATTTACGTGCATGAGCATAAATTCATTGATCATATTGCACTTAGATGTACATGACAACAGGGTGTACTCTGTACCATCCGACTTACCTCTGTTGCACACAGACAAAGCGAGAGAATAACTTAATATTACCCACGCATCCTGAGCCACTGTGCTTTTGCTTCTATCCAGCAATACACATTCTTCACTCTCTCACTCGCCCCTCTTTGTTTCACTTCAGAGGGCTTATGGGGATCTTGTCGTGCCACCATCCCCGTTTTCCTCTCTCTGTATCTCTACTATCGAGCTGTATATCCCATTTGATGCAGCTTCCTCAGGAGAATCTGAGTAAGGTCAAACGTGGTGAAGCTGATCCCCACCGCAATGGGTCCTTTGACCCAGTTCATACTGAGACCTTTGTAGAGTCCACGGATAACCCCCTCCTCGGACACAATCTCCTTCATGGTGCCCAGGATGGTGCCGTACGTGTGACCTGTGACACCTGCGGTCTGCATGCGCCGCCGTACCACATCCAGAGGATAAGATGCCGACTGGCCAATCAGACCTGCGCAGGCTCCAAAAGCCAGACGTTCATATGAGTAGGGCTGCAGGCGGCCACTCTGCTCTACGAGGAGGAGGAAGGTAGAAGGTGTAAGCACTGAATACAAACATTAGAGGTGTGCATGTTTACATTACAACAATTTCCCTGAGGTTTGCACCAAAGGGATCAATAAAGTTCTATTCTATTCTATGCAAAGAAAGAACATACATACATAAATTCAGAGGTCATATATTGCGCCCACTATCAGCAAATTATTCAAGTGTCATATGTCGTCTGAATGCATTTCAATTTTTAGCTCAAAATTCTGCAGCAGATGGTTCATTTTACAATGATGGTATAACCACAGGTCAGTTTCTATAGCTTTAAATACAGCTGAACTGCTTCTATCCCTGCTGGCTTCAGGAAGATGGCTCTCTGCATCTGTGATTGGTTCCATAGTTTGTACGCAACAGCTTAGTCAAACTCCTACTGGCTTGTAAAGGTAAGAGTCCATGTAGTTGTGGAGAAGCTAAAGGAACGGTACAAGTAAATGTCCTCATATCTTACCAGCTTTTACTTTACACCTGTAAGTTTACAACAACCACAAAACACAATAAAACCAGCCTATCACCATATGGGACCTTTAAGAGTAGCAGTACCTGCGTGCAGCTTCTTCAGTGTCTCGTAGGTAAAGAAGCTGAGACCAGCGTAGGGAACGACACCCAGTATGGTGGGAGTAAAGCCTCGATACAAGGTTTTCAGACCCTCTTCTCGAGAAATCCGCACAAACACGTGCAGAATGTTGCTGTACCTAAAACACAGAGACATGACAAGAGATCTAAGAAAATCCTTTGATAGTGGGACAACAATGGATAAGACACTCATGACTGCATCCAAAGTATTGTTATCATTCAAAAAGAAACTCTGATCATTAAAAACAATCCATCCATCCATCCATCCATCTTCTCCCGCTTATCCGGAGTCGGGTCGCGGAGGCAGCAGCCTTAGCAAAGACGCCCAGACTTCCCGATCCACACACACTCTTCCAGGGGGACCCCTAGGCGTTCCCAGGCCAACTGGGAGACATAGTCCCTCCAGCGTGTCCTGGGTCTTCCCCGAGGTCTCCTCCCGGTGGGACGCGCCCGGAACACCTCCCCAGGGAGGTGTCCAGGAGGCATCCGGAAAAGATGCCCGAGCCACCTCAACTGGCTCCTTTCGATGTGGAGGAGCAGCGGCTCTACTCCAAGCTCCTCCCGCGTGACTGAGCTCCTCACCCTATCTCTAAGGGAGCGCCCAGCCACCCTGCGGAGGAAACTCATTTCGGCTGCTTGTATCCGCGATCTCGTTCTTTCGGTCATTAAAAACAATTTGAGTGATATTTACTGTGTTTTGATTGCAACATCTTTTTCAAGATTCAAGACCTTTATTTGTCAGCAAACATAATTACACACAGTATAACCCGCAGTGAAATGAATTTCTTTTCTGACCCGTCTTCTTCGTCTGAAAATATTTCTGCAAATGATTTTCCAGAGATGGAACCATAATATTCATATCTAGCTGTACACAAGGGTCTCACAAAACAAAAAACACTAAAATTGACCTTACATTTCCTTTGGCGTTACAGCCATCCTTGCTCGCACCATGTCAAGAGGGTAGGTGAGCATGGCTGCTGTGGTGCCAGCCATAGACCCGGCCAGTAACCTTGGTAATGGCGGTAGAGCTCTGAAACGGACAAATGTGTCTCAGTTTTCCAAATTTCAATGACTTCCTATAGGATGCAGAAGCTCAGAAACAAGCAAAAGAGTTGTGCAGCAGGTCTTAGAACAAAATCAGGACACTTACTTCCCCTGAAAGCCATAGTATCCTCCCAGCAGCCCCTTGTACTGCTCATGTGCACAGAACTGGATGGCAGCGTACGGGATGACTCGCACCATGGTGGCAGAGTTGCCCCGCCACAAACTGAAGAAGCCATCCTTCAGGTAGGTGCGGTAGATCAACCTGTAAGCTTCCTGCAATGCAGCGTGCACACATTAACACACGTGTTCTCAATTTGAATGAATAATACATCAATTTTTATTGCTATTTTTGCCTTTCAAGTCTCTCTCATTAAATATTTTTTGAAGGTCAACTGACTGAATTATTTTAACCGTGAATTAAACTGAACACAACATGTGGCTTCTGTTAAGTGAAATGGGTATAAATTACACTGCTATGAATGAGAAGCAGCCAAACAACATGAAATATGTGATGCTCAAACGTACCTTGGCAGAGAATCGTGCTGAAGACACTGAAAAACAAACCATATGAGCGATATAAATAATGTTTGAGCAGAGTTTCTTGCAAATCCAGCTACTCTCATTTTAAGTGATACCAGCAACACATTTTCTGAACTTCACACATCACAACAACTTCCACATCATCCATTCAGGTCATCTGCAGTCTAAAAACAATTTACACTTTCAGATCAACAGAGCATCCAACTTGCCTTGGAAGATGATTTTAGTTCTATCCAAAGGGGCGACAGCTGTCTTGGCCACAGCTCCGGCTAAAGCCCCCGAGAAGAGCGAGTTGAGGACAGACCGAGTGTGCTTCAGGCCCTGCACGGCAATGGAGGAATCGCATTTAGGGTCACCAACAGCAACAGAGTGAATCCTGTAAACTGCCTCCTTACATGAACAAAGGTACATGAGGTGCTGTTGATCATTAAGCCAGAGTCACATCAGGATAATAGATCACATCTGACTAACCGGCTCGCAAAACCTCACGCATGGGAGCAGATGTTGTTAAATGAACCGAAGTGGCAACGAAGCCACCGAGCTCGGCTCGGTTCATCTCTTTCAGATACATTACAGCAACTAGCAGACGGAGGCATGTCGAGTTTGAACTGAACTTCTTTCAAATAAAGACAGTACAGAGATTAAACACAGTGAAATAGTGATGTGATGTCGTAACATTTCTGTCAGTGAAGGTTGCAAAGTCACAGCACAACTATTACTATTAGTAATTTTAGTAATGTTTCAGGTTCCCTTTACAGTACGCAATCACAAAAATAAACTGTGGCAGAACAAACAAACACGAAGGAATCTATTTTAAATGTATAACTTTATGACATAAGGATGTCACTATGTACACACAAACACACTATTACATCAAAACTGACAAAACTGTAAGTCTCAAAAACCATGGACATCTCTCATGAGAAACTATTAAATATTGGACATAGTAACTGTGACCCAGTAGAACTTCTTTTTTTTAAGTTTTTTTTTTTTTGGCGCCTTTAATAGATAGGACAGTTGAAAGCGAGACAGGAAAGTGGGGGATGAGAATGGGGGGTAGGAGTTGCAGCAAAGGGCCATGAGCGGAATTCGAACCCATGGCCACAGCATCAGAGACCGTATCCCCTGTACATGGGTCGCCAGCTCAACCAGGTGAGCTAAAGTGGCAGCCCAGAGCTTTTAATAAATCAAAGTTCTGAGTTGTCCCATATTCAGTATTAACTGACCAGCCCTGTTATTTGTCTCTAAATGACACAAAAGATTAAAATCCACTGGAACAGATCTGTTTGTGTTACAAATAAGAACGAAAAATCTCAAATAAATAAGTTGAGAAGCACAATGATTGCAGATGCTTCCCCACAGGTGCACTGTGCACTGGTAAAATCCAACGTTTAACATCCAGTCATGCTCTGTTGGATGTATAATAATGCGGAGCAGCTTTGTATCACAATGGCCAGAGGTAAAGATCTGAGAGACTTTGAGAGAGGGTTCATTGTCGGGGCACAGGTGGGAGGAGCTTCAGTCACAAAGACTGCTCAGCTGGTTAATGTTTCAATAGGAACACTGAATAAAGTGACATCTGCATTCAGATCTGTGGGAAAGATAATAAATCGGGTTGGAAACTGTGGTGAACAGTGAACATTTGAGGACCGTAATGCTCGTGCATTCGTGCGACATGCAATGACAACCGGAATGGCAGCTTCTACAAAGGTGACTGGTGTAGGGTTGCAGTGTAGAAACCCCTCATCACAAAAGCTGAAAGCACATTTGAGAGTTAAGTGGGGTTTTTTCCTTTAATTTGTCACCCATGTAGATCTATATTTTCATCCCCTAAAGTGTTATCGTGGATAAGACTTTACCTCATAGCTTACTTCTGATTGACTGGACGAAGCCAGCGGCAGCACTTCTCCCTGCGTGAGTGATGCCCGTTGTTCCTGGACTCCACTCCCCATCCCCGAGGACTAAGCACCGAGCACGCTCATTAATTCAACCACCGGGGAAGGGGGCAACAACACCAGGGGCTGAGAGCTACAGAGGAGAGAACGAGGTCAGAGAGAGAGAGAAAACAAAAAAACAAAAAAAACAGAGGTCAGTTTTAGGTTAGCCTAAATATAAAACAAATGTCAAGTTATTTAGGTGAGCAAGCTTCTATTCTTGTTACTCTTAGATAACAGCATCAGGATCAGGTGACAAGCATGACTCTGAAGAATTGTCATGCAAACGCTGTTTACAAAAAAAGCAGATTGCAGGGAGATAGCATTTGAGTCAAGCATTGACGAAACCTATGAACAAAGTCTGTCTAGTACTTTATTTGCATTCCCTTGCTCACTTTTGCAACGTCATGTAAACTGGTGATTACTGACACAGGGTGGTTATCTTTAAACAAGAAACTATAAATACAATGCATACCTCGGGCTAACAGTTGCATGGACAATAATCCAGTTACCTTTACACAACCGCCACACCTATGAAGGCTATATAAAAATGTCTTGAAGGACAGGACTGAGGATTTGTAGGTGAAAGGTATCAGTCTAAACAACTCGAGCACATTTGAAGCTCCTCCCTTTCTGGAACACCAGACGGCAGTTCCACCACGTCCATGCACATTCTTGTCTATCTAGTTAATAAAGATGAGATGAACTTTGAGGACAATGAGGACAAATATTGTTATTCACCGTTTTCATAAACAAGCGCATCTTCGTGGTTTTCAATGAGCTGATCATTACACCAGAGAAATCACCTATTCATGCAACCTTCAGCCCCCACAAGCTCCATAGTTTGTTCATAAATACTGCACTAGTTTCACAGCAACTCCACTTCAGAACACAAATATAAAGTTGTCACATATGTACAACCTTTACTCTTTGGACAGTGTAATATCCAGAATATTATTTACATTATTTAGGGTTTAGATTTGTTTCCAGGGAGATATTGAAACTTTGGTGCTGCAAAGATTGCTGTCCCTGCTTTAAAAACATATTTGGTTATATTTAATTACATATATATCGATATAGAATGCTGTTTATATAATGCTGTTTTGAAATTATTTATTTATTTATTTGCATAGTTGTAAAAAAAATAAAATAAAAAAAAAAAAAGAACTGATAAAGCAGCTGGCCTTTACCAACTCCCAAGGGAAATATTTGCCACTTTAGTTACTAAATGCTGAGCTACGTTCACTAGTTTGTCCACAACAGTGTGGATGTATTGTTTGGTACTGAGCCAGCAGGATATAGATCAGTTTAAGAACCATTTGTTTGAAACCAGCTGTCTGCTGTGACCTACAATGACACCGAAACAGTACATCGTGTGCCAGACATCAAAAAAAAAAAAAATTAGCTGAAATTCCCTATTAAACTCTGTAAAGCTGAAGTGAGCTACAGATTTAAAGTACACCTACATACTGCTGTTTGACACATAGTTTATATTATGCAAATGTAGGTTATAGCCAAGATCAGCATTTCCACAAACTATCATTTTTTGAGGTAGTAGACAAATACAGATTCATCAAAAAGTTGCAACCCAGATAATTCCCTGGTTTAGTTTATGTCTGAACCGTAACAATTATACAAATTAGAGGAAAACAACACATATCTGATGAACCTGAAGGAGTACATTTTAATATTCCAATTTGATGAGTTACTAAAAAAAAAAAAAAACATCCAAGTGTCTCAAATTCTTGTTTTGCCTTTCCACTACTTCTGAGATGATTCCACATGAAAACATACAGCCTTTCCTAGTCTTAATACTTCACTAAATACAGGTTCAGTCCAGAATTTGTAGATTCTGGGTATCTGTTAAAACATTACTGGGAAAAAAACAAAAAAACACACCGAGACATCAGAGTCCAAAAGAGTTTAGCAACAGTGAGGAGAATCGAGCACAAAAAGATGGAGAGAGAAAGCGATGAGACAAGAGTGCAAACAGAGGGTCTGCTGAAAAGCTGGGTAGTCATGGGCAACTAATATTGGCATCAGCACAACAGGGCTGCAAGCCAGATCCTCAAATGTGCACTTAGACCCCTGGTGCGGCCCCTTTCACCTCACCCGCTGTCCTTACTCACAAGTCGTCGCTCACCCCTCCCTGCAGCCTCCTTCCCCGTGCATATCATTTTGCAGTTCCTTGTTCCTGACTGCTATTTATGTTGCTTTGTGTGCCTTGGACTTGATCTATGGCTCAACACCTCATTCCCATGCTATACATACTGCAAAGGGCAGATAGCGCTGCCCTGTGCTGTAGATTAACAGTGTAATTCACAGCCCTTGCCTCTTGTAACCAACCTGTCCATTCAACTGAGTCACCTAATGGCTGTGAGTACAATATGAGCTAAATGGTGTGCCACAAACTGCAAAGAGCAAGTGCATGAAAATGACGGTGACTCTTAACTTTGCAAAGTTCACAGCACAATAAAACCACTACAGTTAACCAATCCTAATGGAAAAGTGTGAGATGCAGCTTCAAAACTGCTATTTTATCAGACCAACAGTCCAAAACTTAAATGACATTCAATGTATACAAATAGAAAACAGACAAGGAGTGCAGTCAAATTATTAATCGGTGATCCCAACTGCTGGTGATCTCGATTTAATTAATTCACTTGTATATTTTAAGTTGAAAATTACATTATAGAAGATGAATGTGAAAGCAAAGAGGTGCAGAAACTATTTAAAATATATTTCTGTAGTGAAGTGGGTTATATCATGAGGTGTTCCTGTTATTCTGTCCACCTCCTGGTGTGTGGACTGTTGCATTGTGTTAGGTAATAGTTTTGCAAAAGCTTTGAATCCCATATGTTACCATTTTCCCTTGAATGTGATATTATTGTTGTTGTTTGTGCCAACATGGACACAGTTCAACCACCAACAGTTAGAGTTCAACAGCATTTCAGCGGAATTAGACATTCATTCATGAGATAAACATCAAGCCTGTGTGTGCTGCTGGCTGCTCTAGTCGAAACTTGCCCACCAACATAACACAGCCACCCTTTGCAGCCAGCTCGCTGTCACTGCCCACAAACACTGCATTTCTTACCTTGTAAATCTGACACCGGCACGGAGATTTCTGACGCTTTGATATTTCGCCCTCGGTGCGTTAATTCGAGTTGTTAGCGGCTTGTTCGGGAGGTGTTTTCTAAGTTAGCCGAATAGCAGGTTAAGTAACGTAAGCTAGCTGTTAGCTTACTGCTAACACACTAACGCCAGTGTTACTCTCGTCAACAGCGGCGAGGAAATATTAACAGGAAACCTGAGTCTTGACAGAAAATGTGTCCCGGTGTTAAAGGCACTGTCGTCCGTACATTTCTCAAATCCATCAGCCCAGCGGTGACTTTAGGCGACAGGCATCCTCCATGCTGCTGTGTTTCTGCCGTTACTACTCCTGTCAGCGACCCGAGCCAGTTCACGTTAGCTCGGCCACACAGCGAGGTTTGACAAGGACGAACGCAGGGGCATTGTGGGAAATGGAGTCTGACCGAGGTGGGGCCAGCGTGGATAGGTCGGTTAGAGGGGCGTGAGCCGGAGACACACTTGGCAACGAGGGGACCTACTACAGTTCCTCAAGTGTCTTTTCATGTCCTTCAAATACAGTGGAATCGATTTTCTTTTTTTTTGCAGTATTTTCATCCAAAGTCCCACAAGATGTAATGTAATACTGACACTGATACCATATACACACACAGTAAGAGAAAGTTGGAGCACCAAAGTCGGTTTTATCATGGCCATGCAGAACACAGTTTAATTTAGTGTAACACTGTAATCGTGAATATACAAGCTTAAATTAAAAAAAAAAAAGAACTATTTGGTTTTAGTATAAAGTCTAAGGCATCCTATAAGTGTTACATTTGGTTGTGTCAACATCATTTCTTCAAATCAGGTTGTTAGATCATCTGCTTGGTTGAGTCCTGAGCTCCATCACAGCTGCTGGAATATTTTTATTTTACTGTTCAGTAAAGTAGTAGTTAGCCTATCAGCACACTTGGACAGGATTTTCAGTAACCAGGAAACTCATGAATAAAGTAGGCAATTAGTTATTTGGACACTTTGATAAGCCTGCTGTCAGATAAGATTTATTGTTTTGTTTACTCATGCATTTTGTGTTATATTTCACTTGACAGTTTTTTGCTTTCTGTCACAGTGGTGGGAATGTCTGAATGAAGCCACCAAGAACATTAACAATAAAGTGACCTACATCTGAATGAGAAAATTCTCTCATTTTATAGACTGATGAAGCCAAAAACTTTACATATTCCATGTCTGAAAAAGGCTATACAAAAGAACTTGCATAATCCAGTGCAACTACTTGCATATCAGCAAATGCACTTATATTAACCCATTGTACAAAACACACAACATTAACATAAATGTAATACAAAAAAATTAAAGAAAACATGTGCAACTGGACCGTACTGGAAAACATATGTAACCTCAAAGGCATTGTGTGTGGAACTGATTATGTGGCTGTTCACACTACCTGCAAGGCTTTTCTACAACTACTACACTGTACAAATATGTTTAGCTAGGTAAGTACATAAGCTTCAGCTTTTGGCTATACTGTGTAGTATATACCAACATCACAGCATTTCATTTTGTTTAAAATTGCCAACAGGCAAACTCATTGTAATGTGTATGATCTTGAGGAAGTTCTCTTCCACTTTTAGTGGGTAAGGCTGCCATGTTTGCCGGTCCACAGCTCTCGAAGCTCCACCTGACATCCCAGATCTCTGAGGGCTGCTTTAGCCACGTCACCACAGTCTTGGTGGGTCTGCAGTGCCTGAGCTATCAGGGCCTCTGCTCCCATTTCCAAGATCGGCTGGCTGAGGTTACGCATACGTGAGACCAGGTTTCTCAACACCATGCATCCTTGTTTCTGTGGATAAAAGAAAGAAAACCCGACATAAAGAGATGGAACGCCATCAGAGGGAGTGCATCAGTTATTAGTGGTCTCATATTACCTGTACATTGACCGCGTCAGGATGAGCTTTCATAGCCTGCACAGCAGCCAAGGCGCCGCCGTTCTCCATGATGACTTTGCAGTTGTTGGGTTTGCGCAAAGCAAGGACAGAGAGGCATGCACAGCCCTGCTCACACACCTACAGCCGAATGGAAACACAACATTAGAACATCTGTTGCATATGACTGAAACTGATTTTATCACTTGAAATAACATTTTCTGTGTTACATCTTTAATTAATGCTAAAGGAAAACTGTTAATAGTGCACGTAAGTATGACATTGAACTCACTGCAGAGTTGCTCATGTGTCTGTTCATGGCGATGACAATGAGCTGAACCCCACCAGCATTAACAACTGCATCTTTCACATCATCGTTTCCTGCGACGGCCCGTATTGCACTAAGAACCTGCCGAACTAGCTCCTGCATGAAGAAAAAGACATCAGTGAGAAGAACAAGTATGGAAGTTGCATCTTGAATTAATTTGCATGATGATCCTTGTTTTTTGTACATTACCGCTGACTCATAGCTGTCTGCGAGCAACGTCATCATGAGCTTTAATCCACCCAGATCACAGATGTCTTGACAAAACTCATTCCTTACAGCCAGGCGGGACAAAGTTGCACACAGCTCACTCAGAACAGAAGTATTACCTAGGTGAGCTGTGAGAAAGGCACAAAATAAAGATATTGCATTAATGAAATGAAAATGCAGTAACTACATCTATACTACTATGATAAGCACACAAACAAGGGATCTGCTGGTCTTACCTTTTGCAGCTTCAACTAAAACCTTCAGTCCATTGTTCTCAAGAACAATAATCTTGGCATGCTCATGAGCATGCCCAAACGTAACTCGGACATCATCATCGAAGGTCATGACCCTGAGAGTTGCAGAGCCCTCCTTGACCAGCTCAGCAGATCCACTGTGTCGAGTAATGGCACCAGTCAGAAGAGGCAGGACGCCGCCTTTCACCAAATCCTGCCTGTTCTGTTCATGCTTTAAGCAACAGTGACGCACAGCGCAGATGGCGACACACGTCAGTGAGGAATCTGCCGGATACTTCTTTAAGACATCTAAAAGAAACTGCTGGCCTTCTGCATCCAACAAGTCTGGCTGTCCATCTGTCAGTGCAGCCAGAGCGGACAGCGCAGCCAACACAGCTTCTTGGTCCTCCATGCTCTTTTTGCAGTAGGAGAAGATGATCGGGTAGGCATCTTTCTGGGCAGCCAGGTACCTCTGGGCAAATCCAAGCGAGCACTGCTCAGTGAAGCACTTTATATCCGCTGTCACCTCCTTTACACTAGCAGAGTCTTTTCCAATACGGAGAGAATCCAAAGCCTGCCAGAGATGAGCAAAGTATAAGATTTTGACAGCAGATACTTTCATAGAAAGCAAGTTTTTTTTCACCCAACAGCTCATTACTCACCTGTAAGACCTCATGCGTTTGCTCTTCTTGTTTGTCGTCAGATGATACAGCTGGGACCGCTTTTACTATACAACTGAGGTTCACACCTGCATCCAAACATACGATCAGGATTATTGTTCTGACTGAATGCAGTCTTAAATCAGGGGGTTACCTGTCTCAGAATGGGCCTTTGTGGCTTGAATACGCACAAGAGTAAGCTTGATCTGTCCATGTGCAGTTAAGAGAACGAGTCTGTTACCTTATTTTAGACAAATCGATGCATATGCACTGCCTAAAACTGCATTGGGGGGCACCAAAGATCCCTCTATACAGCAAAAAACCCAGCAAGTACACGAGCGGGAAAGTCAAAACATAACTTCACAGGTAAACCGAATAACATCTCAGGAGTGTACAGTCAGAATAAAAATATGCAAGCAGGGGCTGGTGTGTATGAGTGTATCTTCTTCAAATCTGCACAGACAGAAAGATTTTGAGCTGCACATGGACATCGCCCAGAAGGGTGAGCTGGTGTGCTCGAGGAGCAGCAAGTGAGGAAGGGTGGGTGGGGTGAGAGGTTGGGACTTAGTTGATCTGTACATTTCAGAGAACACAACAGTGTAGTTACATCTAAGCTATTTTAAGGTAGAAAGGCATTACTTTTATTGAAAAACTTATATAACTTTGGTACACAGAAATAGTTTTTTCAGGGGTAAATCAGCAGCTGGAGAGGAACTTTAAAAGATGTGTTGGAGACAGCTACTATCAATTTGGAATTTGTGGGGGAAAAAAAGTTGAAACACTCTACAAGCAAATTCCTAAACATGGTTACATCTTCTTAAGCAGGTTTAGATCTAAGATTTAATATTACCCATCAGACCTCACGGCTCCTGTAAGCTGTCTCATTTGAGACCATTCTCCTGCCATGATACATAATTTAATAGGTTTTAGAAAGAACAGCATCTGCAGCTTGGCAATAAATGATTTCATTCCTTTGGAAGACATAATGATATTTAGGAAGTGTATGTTTCACTTTGTCTGTCTGACTCTCCCTGGAATATCGAGAGAATGCCAAGAGAATATCTCAAAACGGTTACATTTCTAAACTTCTCTGCCTCTTTTATTCCTCTTAGATCCTCAGACTAACTGCTGCTAACCGGCACAGGATGGGGGAGACTGTGTCTTTGCAGTAGAAGCTCTAAAGCTTCTTTTAAAGAAATATTACTCCTCCAGTTACATGTTTAAGAAAAAACTCAATACATGTATGTTCTCAAAGGCTTTGGGTTGCTTCTAACAGTTTACTATTTTATATTTATCCTGTTTTGCCTTGTTTTACTATTTTAAACAATGTCTGTTTTACAATTTGATTTTTCATCCTGTCTTGGTTTTTGCACCGATTTTTTTTTTTCCTTGACTGCTCTTGGTCAACGCAGTTTGTTTTAAACGTGATATAAAGATACACTTAATTTGTTTTGTAAGTTAACATCGATATCAGTATCAGTCAACAACATAAGTGTACATCAACCAACAATGAGACACTGCAATGACTGTCATATTTACCCTGAGACTCAAACTGCTCCACAGCCTCCCTCAAAGCCTCTTCGGGATCCATTTCAAACTCCTCCATGTTTTCCCTGACAGCAGCGTCAAAGGTTTCCTGCGTGATCCTCCGCTTTGCCATTTTGCCACGTTAATTTCCAGTCTGAAAGGAAACACAGACGTCAAAAGATAAGAAGCATCACTTTCGCTGAGTCTTACCAGAGCTAGCTAGTTATAACGTCAGCTATTGTTAGCTAGTGGATGTAATTTTCTTCTCCTGTTGCTTTGTGCGTTGTAGTTTTAAGACCTACCGTTTCAATAAAACTGCTGTTGTAATGTAATTTTTTGACATTTATTCAAAAAGGTGCACTTTAAAGAATTTAAGTGAAAACCCTGAACTGTTACCTCCGCCCAGTGACAGGCAACCTGCTCCACTATTGAATGAAGTTACGCACTTTCCGCTGCCGGCTGCGTGGTCGCTGCTAGCTGCTGCGAAGTTTGCGGAACAATAGTGAATAGCAAAGTGCGCCAAGTGTCCCACAGATACATCTGGTCGGTTGGAACAAAGCTCTTAAAACATTAGTTCCACTCAACTTCGTTTACATTCGTTACCAGGTATACGACTTGTCAAAAAAAAATATAAATGTAGGAGCTAATGACGCATTAGAGAGGAGCGATGTGTAATTATCCACAACATAAACCCTGAACATATAGTGGAAAGTAAATACCACTTTTAAGTGTTAATTTTTCACCCTTCAAAATAAAAGAAGCAATTTAGTCATTTACAGTATCTCAATGCTCAGTAGATATATTACGTGAAATGTAAATTTTGATTTGAACATTTTTATTGTTTTTATACCAAATCACTACAATAATTTGAATTTCAGAAAACACGTGTCATGTGTTTGATACGTGTGTGGTCTTATTTTGAAAAACGACCACCGGATGTGGTTTTCCTCCCGCTAGCTTGGCGCTGTTTCTGAGATTCACGTAAATGAGTGAGGAGGGAAACAGCGCAGCGGCCGGCCGGAGCTGAGAGCAGGCTCGGCGGACGTCGTCCCAGCGGTGAACTGTTTGTTGTTGTCGTTGTTTTTTTTTTGTCTCCGGACGCAGTCGGGATGGCAGCGAGCACGGAGGCCCCGGAGCCCTGGTACCTGGCCCTGCTGGGCTTCGCAGAACATTTCCGCACGTCGAGTCCGCCGAAGATCCGTCTCTGCGTCCACTGTCTGCAGGCGGTGTTTCAGTTCAAGCCGCCTCCGAGGGTCGAGGCCCGGACTCACCTCCAGCTGGGCTCGGTGCTGTACCGACACACAAAGAACAGCGAGCTGGCCCAGACTCACCTGGAGAAAGCGGTGAGCAGGAGCCATGTTTGTGTGTGATAGCAGGCTGTGGTACAAACCAAGTAGCAGTAGAAACATGTCCACCGGTGTGTGTGTGTGTGTGTGATGCTTTTCTGTTCACTGCACCAGCTCTCTGTCAAAACCCCGCTGTGATGCTCTCACTAACACTCTGCTGTTTTTCTTTCCTCAGTGGTTCATATCACAGCAAGTATCCTTTTCGTGCACAATAGGAACATGCATACAAACTTAATGTGTTACTCCAGCATCAGTGCATCTCCCTACAACCACACATCCATGCTATATGAAGAAGCTGGGATTTTGTATTCTTTAATCGTGTGCATCAGATCTCACAGTTTGAAGATGTGAAGTTCGAAGCTGCAAGTATTCTGTCAGAGTTCTACTGTCAACAGGTAGGTGCATGCATCTCATGACATGTTGTTTGTAATAGTAATGCATTGCAAAAAGTAGTGGTTGGGAAACTTTAGTACACACATATAAATGTGTATTAGGTTATAACTTAGATATGTAGGAAAAATAATGCTGATTCTGGTGCAGATATTGTATGTTTGGTATTAATATCTCACCCTTTGGCTTTTTCTTTTTTAAGACCTTGGTGGACTCTGCAAAACCGGTGCTCCGGAAGGCCATCCAGATTTCTCAGCAAACTCCCTACTGGCACTGCAGACTGCTTTTCCAGCTGGCAGTAAGAAGTGTCATGCAGTACCAACTTATTTGTGTTTGGTTAATTGATTCGAAGCATGTTTAATTTAGGTGTGTGATGTACTTCTCTCTGTCAGCAACTACACGCACTAGAGAAAGATTTAGTATCTGCCTGTGACCTCTTAGGAATGGGTGCCGAGTATGCAAGAGTCATGGGATCAGAATACACGAGGTAAACAGATTGGATTTACATCTGGACGCTTTAAGAGATTGCATATTGATCTGCGATTGTGCGTTATCTCGCATTGACTTTGTTCTTTTTGTTTTCTTTCAGAGCTCTGTTCTTGTTAAGTAAAGGAATGGTAAGCTTGAACCATTGTCAACTGCATTCGAGTATCATTTGTGCTCTTTTTACTGTACAATTCTGTCAACTGTATGTGCATTTGCGGCTCTGCAGCTGCTGCTGATGGAGAGGAAGCTGAGCGAAGTGCACCCACTGCTGACGCTGTGTGGGACTATTGTTGAAAACTGGCAGGGAAACCCCATTCAGAAGGAGTCTTTGAGAGTTTTCTTCCTGGTGCTGCAGGTTACACACTACCTGGATGCCGGACAGGTACAACTGCATCCCCATGTTTCATCACTGGCTCTCAGTATTATATCGATACCAGGATCATGCACGCTACTGTTATAACTGCAATATTTTTTCATTGAATGATGTGAAGCCCCATAACTCAAACTTGTGAAAAATACTGTGCTTTTGAGTAAATCGATGGATTAGAATATAAATTGCTACAGTACCTGTAGTCAGCTAATGCCTAACATGCTTGTGTTGTAGTGAGTTTCATGATTATGGTATAAAATTTCTAATAGTGCTGAAAGAGTCTTTTATGTATATATGTTGTGTTTAGGTAAAGAGTGTGAAGCCGTGTCTAAAGCAGCTTCAGCAGTGCATCCAGACCATCTCCACCCTCCACGATGATGAGATTCTTCCCACTAACCCAGCAGCTCTCTTCCACTGGTTACCCAAGGAGCATATGTGTGTGCTCGTGTACCTGGTGAGATTTCATCACACCCACACAGCTTCTAAAAGAGTGTAGCATTCTGAAACTGCAACACAAAACGTGTCTTGTTTTTTTGTACAAAAGGTGACAGTGATGCACTCCATGCAGGCGGGCTACTTGGAGAAGGCACAGAAGTACACGGACAAAGCTCTCATGCAGCTGGAGAAGCTGAAGAGTAAGTGTATTGGAATACGCTCCTCCTTGATGACGGTGCTAGTGAATCAACTCTGATCCATCTGTGTGTTCTCAAAGTGCTGGACAACAGTCCCATCCTGTCCACGTTCCAAGTCATCTTGCTAGAGCATATCATCATGTGCCGGCTGGTCACTGGACACAAGGCCACAGCCTTACAAGAAGTGAGTCATCATCTGCAAAGATCCATCTGTACTTTGCCAGATAGTTGTTGGTAGTGAAACGAAAGCACAGATTCTGTAACACAAACTTTCTCTGGAGATTGTCTGAACTTTGTGGTTGTAGCTTAAGTTTTTGATGATTTGTGTTCAGATTTCTCAGGTTTGTCAGCTCTGTCAGCAGTCACCCAGGTTGTTTACAAATCATGCTGCCCAGCTTCATACACTGTTGGTAAGTCCACACGCAAAGAAAACCCAGACATTTCCCTTTTTTCTCAACAACTGTTTTGCCTAAAAGCCTTGGTTACAGACTAAAGAATCTACACAACTGCACACGTCCCATTTAATATGAACCATTCACAGCTGTCTTTTCTTTTTTCTGTGTCAGGGCCTCTACTGTATCTCAGTAAACTGCATGGACAACGCTGAGGCGCAGTTCACTGCTGCACTACAGGTTAGTTTCATGTCATCCCCATTAGCTCTCAGAAGTTTTTCTTTCTTTTTTTTAACTTCAATAATCCCTTAAGGGAATCTGCTTCATCAACAGTTGCTCAAATATGTTGCAGTTGTAAAATTCTACAAGAATACAAGCAATACATGACTAGATTATGACTGTGAAATCTCTGGGGTGCAGAGTCTGGAGTAAGAGAGCAGATTATGTCACACACAGTTGCTGGGTTAGCAGCAAAAACAGCCATGTGAAAACTCCCTGGGTGTGTAGTGTAGATGTAGCCCTACAGTTAACAGTTCAGTATGTGGGCTGCAGAGACATTTCTTTACAGTAATGCCATCAGAGTGACAACATTTGTTGTTTAGAAAAGCAGCATGCCATTTGCCTCTTTCTTTGCCGCTCTCAGATTTATTCCTATAAGCCCAATTTGTCTGAGAGCCGTCATGAAAACGATCGGATTAACAGTTATTCCTGTGGCCATGTCTCTGTGAAGCATCTCACAGCACAGTCATTAAGTCTCTTGATTTCTCACCAGGACCATTAGCTCGTCCATCTAACTGTCCAGTGATCTGACTTGTCCTGGCTTGTCTGGACTCAGCTCTGTTCCCTCGTTGCTTTGTTCCAACCTGCAGAGAGCAGAGCTGAAGGCTCCCATCGAGCATGCCCCGAAATGGCACCGTTCCAGAAAGTTACCAGCAGTAGTTCACAATTTGGACAAAAAAAAAAAGAAAGTTTAAGAATGTGTGTATTTGCCATTTTTGTTCATTGGGATTTCATTCACACAAACTTTCATTTTTGTTTATGAAGTGATCAGAAATAATAGGAAAATGCATGATTTCTTTTAAATATGGCAACAAAGACTTGTTTCCTGTACACGGACTGATCTTAATGTCGTGTCTATTCACATGTCAAAGGCACCTTCTGAGCCCTGAAAACCTCGAGCAGAAAATCTAAAATAAACTATCTGTTTGTATCAGTTTCTGAAAAGCTTTTAAAACACAAAGTAACCATGTGTCAGCAATAAATGTAAGAATGCAAAATGGTATCAGTTGGCGTATAGAAGCTCTGACTGTGAGATCCAACTCGGTTGTCAGCGTCTCTCTTTTCTTCTTTCTTCTCTTAGATGACAACACACCAGGAGCTGTGGACGTTCATTGTGACAAACTTGGCCAGCGTTTACATCCGTGAAGGGAACAGACATCAAGAGGTCTGAAAGCTGCTGCTGTGCTTTCTCAAGCATTTGAACAAGTACAAAAGCACATCTGTGTTTTTTCATCTTTGGTTCTCACTTGCTTTTCGAATCAACAGCTGTACAGCCTTTTGGAGAGGATTAACCCCGATCACAACTTCCCTGTCAGGTAGCTCTCGATGCTATGTAGACAACAGCACATGATATAAACTTGTTCTGTGTTTTTATGTATCTTACAACTGTGTAACTTTGGCATCCTCAGCTCTCATTGTCTACGAGCTGCAGCGTTTTACATCAGAGGGCTCCTGTCTTTCTTCCAGGGACGCTATAACGAGGCCAAGTAAGAACAGCTACTGTACAATGATAATGTGTTATTGTAAAAGCTATTTTGTCTTGTCATTTAGTTTAGGTTAAGAGAGATTAACATGTCAGTTTGTATCAACAGAAGATTTCTAAGGGAGACTTTGAAGATGTCTAATGCAGAGGATCTAAATCGGCTGACCGCCTGCTCACTAGTCCTACTGGGTCACATCTTCTTTGTTCTAGGCAACCACAGGGTGAGTCTGCAAATTGTCACGTGTCCTATCTGTTAGACTACACGTGCCGTAGTGCCGTTATCTTCGGGCCGCAGATGTGATCTTCACTACATGTTTGCTTCTGCGTGTTTTCTTCAGGAAAGCAACAATATGGTGGTTCCTGCCATGCAGCTGGCCAGCAAGATCCCAGACATGTCTGTGCAGCTCTGGTCCTCTGCTCTTCTCAAAGGTACAACTGTCAACTGAAAGATCTTAAAATGTGAAAGTGTAATGTCCTGCTGTGGGCCTCGTACCAGCTGAAATGCTGTTTGAAATTGCATCCCACAAAAAATAGGATTAATTTGTCCTCTGAGGGTTTACTTTACATTTTGGCCCAAAGGGGGCACAAGAGCCAAGTATATGGAGTGTCCCGAACTGGATCAGCTTCAACCTACAGTGTACAGTCATCCTCAAATATATTCACACCCTTCCATTCAAGAAAAGGCAAAATTCACAATAGTCACTGAAATAACTAGAAACTGAATAAAATGAATAATAAATAAAAAAAAAAAATGCAAAATTATAATTGAGTGAAATAAGACATTGCTTTTGAATTGTGGTTGGAAAGAATAACTTAAAAAAAAAAAAAAAACTGTCCCGGACAAATTAAAGCACTTTGCTGATGAGCAGTGGGCCAGAATCAAAACACCTGTCAATAGGTGCAGAAGTCTGATTGAGAGTTACAGAAAACACTTGATTGCAGTGATTGGCTCAAAGGGTTGTTCAACAAAATATTAGTTTACAGGCCTCATTATGCTTGTTTGCTTGTTGAACCACAATTCAAAAGCAATGTCATGATTTTCATTATTCTTTTTTATTTATTATACTTTTGTCAATTTCAACTTATTTCAGTGACAGCTGTTTTTTTTCCTTCTTTAATGGTAAGGTATGAATACATTTGAGGACGACTGTACACTCAGTTGGTAGTTTATTAGGTACGTCTAGCTAAGGCTAATCAGGCTAATTCAAAAGTCCTGTGACAATATCGTCCTCGTGAATGTTAAAATGTTCAGTTTCTTCAAGAGTGCACACAGAAATATTATGACTGTAAAACTGAACCTTCAGACTTGTATGAATTCAATATGTATCGTATTTATTAAACCTCATTAGTTTTAACTTGGTGTACCTAATAAATTGCCACTTCAGTTCAATTCATTTTTATTTGTATAGCGCAGTTTACGACATATGTCACAGCGCTTAACATAGCACAAATTCAAACAGAGGACCCAACAATCCAAACTTGCCTTTGGACTCTTTGGCAACAGTGGGAAGGTTGGGTTTAAACACTCATTTGGTATCTTGTCACTATGATCAGTATCAGATCTCATAGGAACAGTTTTTTTTTATCTGATGTGGAGCAGAGCTGTAGTCTCCATATCGACTGGTTGATCAATATGCTGTCATCCAACCAAATTCTTATTGGTCAGATAATCACCAGTGTTACCTATAAAGGAGGAGGAAAGCACTACGTCAGCAGTCTTTCAGGATTAATCCCTTTTTTTTTTTTTTTTGCGACAGGAAGAGCATACGACATGCGCACATTCCTGCTTTTTCACAACCTGAGACTTGCTCAACCTAATGAACACTGCCAGATTTAACTTATTTAACATTTACTAAACATTTACTTGGGTTCAGCCCCAAACTGACTGACGCCGTAACAAAGAAGTCGTTAGTGTGGCTGCATTTTGTTTGAACAGGTTGCCAAATACTCAAGTGTCCACTTTGCAAACAGTAGTTTGCATGTTACAGCTCAACAAACAACATGATATAACATCTAAAAGCCTTAAAAGGTTTTACTTTTCTGGGCTATATTCCTCTGTAGTTCATGTCATGGCATCACAAGTTGACATAGTTCTGCTTTCAGAACCAAATGGGCTGTTATAGAGCAACAAGAATCAACTGGTTAAAGATTTGATTCGAGTCAATTCGAGGTTGCCTACAGCTCTAATGTAGTCACAAATTAATGATTATCTACACTCTGTTTCATGGCTGCCTGGCCAGGAGGAAGTATAAAGATAGACGTGCAGGATAAACTGACCAGCTGACGAATGCTGCCATTTTTAGGCTTCCCACTTATAGAAAACAGTTGTTGGTGATGTAATTTAGTTTCCTTGGACAACATTTTGACTTTTTTTTAATCCCAAAGGTAACTGATTACATGAGCACATCATGACATCACCTCAACATATCGCTAGCACAGAAGAACACAACCATTTTATATACAAAAACAACTAAGCCATAAAAAAAACATTGGAGCACCTTTTTTGGTGTCACTGCAGTTTGTTTCCCATCTTATTTTCTTCCAGTATTCAGCATACAGAGAGAGATCTCATGCAAAGAAGACAGTCTTACCCATTTCTCACACAGTTATAGCTTCAGTACATCACAGAGCAGTGAAGCCACGGCTGAATCAGAAGAGGACGAGGCTTAGAGAACACAACAAAGTGGGTTAAGAAACACTTAATCCCACTGCAGTAACTACACGCATCTATTCAAGTTGAGCTGAGACGTTTGGATCTAAAATCATAGTTAAACATATACTGTCGCCAGTATTCACGACGATCTTTTCCCAGCAGATCTGAACAAGGCGTGTGGAAACACCATGGACGCCCACGAGGCAGCCCAGATGCATCAGAACTTTTCCCAGCAGCTCCTGCAGGACCACATCGCAGCCTGCAGCCTCCCGGAACACAACCTCATCAGTGTAAGCACAACATCAATCAAGTCATACTGTAAACAGTGAGTCATCCCGCCCTGCTCGGGTTCTCTAAGAAACTTTTGTGTTGTGCGTTGCGTTCCAGTGGACAGACGGCCTCCCCCCCGTGCAGTTTCAGCCTCAGAACGGACCTACGACCAGCCTGGCCAGCCTGCTCTGAGAACAAGACGCCACACTGACAGGGAAAATGAGACACACAAGAGCTGTTGTAGGAAAATGACACAAGATTACTGAGAGAGGAAAGAGAGAAGCAGCTGATAAAAGGGTGAGAAGAAATCGAGGGTAATGAAATTAGACAGAGACGCTGCACTGTGTCATTTGGCAGGTTTCCATTCGGTGCATTCCTTCGCTTATTTGGGGCACTGGGGCATCAGGACTGGATTGTAGGTAACATATTCTCCACCACCTCGAAAGATAATGAAAAAATACAGTTAAATGAGAAAAGTACTACCACTGTTATACCTGTATGGTAACTCTGTTCCCTCCGGGGGTTCAGCTAACTTCATTTAGCACAAAGGCTGGAAACATAGTGTGGCTGTGTGCGGAGGTAACAAAATCCACCTAACAGCAGCTCACTAATGTACTGTTCATACAAAAACAAAGCATTTGTATTGTTCCCATATGTTACGCTTTTCCTTTTAAACTGGTCTGACTTATTCATTTAGCTCATCTCTGAACTGTTTTCTGCAAGACCATCAGGGAGGTGTTTTCCAAATGTAGAACTTTAAATAAAAAAAAAAAGCAACTTCTTAACTTTTCAGGTTAAATTACTGTTAAATTGAAACCATCGGCTGGACAATCAGACACAGTACAATTGGATTCAGTCTGTTGTTGTGCATGAACTCAATATTTGCATTTCCAAAGCAAACTGGATGTCCAGTTCTGACACAGTATTAGTTACGATACACAGTATATATCTTATACTAAATCTCACTAATGATCTTAATGTAGTGTAGTGGTATCTTTGTAGTTTGTTCACTCAAAAGGAACAAATGTTGAGCTGAAGACTATTTTAAATTCGAGTCCTCGGAACCAGCTGACCGTAGAAACACTGGCTTGCTTGACACCAGTAGTATTTAAACATGTTTTAAACTGTGATGCGTTAAAAAAAAAACTGTATTTTTTGACACTACGGTTCAGTCGACTTGCTGCCTGACTGTTCTTCCCGTTAGAGTTTTGCCATTTCACTCATGTATGTTTGTACGCCGCGCACATTTTGTCCACGGTCAAGAAACCAGTAATAATATTTCTACTAAATAAGATTGACTCTTATCTCTCTGTACATATGTTGTTTCATGATGAAACTCACATTTTTTATCTTTTCCATGGAAGCCTTTTGGAATAACAGTTTGGTTTTTATTACTCAGTTCCTGTTTTACTCATTTCTTCCAGACGATGGCGGTATGAATCTGTATTTAAATAACTTATTTATTTAATGTTGATTTTCATTATACCAGATCTTCTTTGCCAGTATGGCTGATTACAGTTTTGATATATTATCAAATACCTGGTAGGACTATCATTTAATCATTCTCATAGAGGTAGTTTACAATTTTAGTTTTATCAACCTATACAGATTTCTGCACTGATAAAAGAGTTTATTGAAAAATAAGCTCCTGAGTTTGGTCACCTGCATAGCGATTACTGCAATAAAAGAGACGGTATGAATGCCATTTATTTTATTGGCACTTTACAGCATGTTATAAAAGGAAATGTTTGATTTGTTTTTTTCCCTGTTGTCCTTTTAACTGCTTCACTTTGACACTTGTATGACTTCTTTTATAAATAAAAACTCAAAAGTTGAATGACTTGATTTGTCTTATTGAATGAGTCTTTACAGTTTAATCTCACATGAAACATGAAAACAGTGGAAATTGGTCATGAATATAGAGAAATGTGGAGGCTTTGTGCACTGCTGTACTGCACATAGAATAAATCAGGGACCAACACTGATAACTGACAGGATGTTTAGCACAAATGACACATAGTGAAAGAAGTGGGTGGAGTAGATAACTGTTTTTAATGTGCAATAAAGTCAAAGTGCTGCTTAGTACAAACACATATTGTGCACTCTACATCACAGCTGACCATTATGCAAACCGTGCTGTCACGTTTTAATCTGGACGAGTTTGTTTTTCCAGTTGATCAGCGCATCCATCGGTTTCCATTAGTTTCTGCACATTAGAAGACTCTTAAGTTCTTACTGTAAAGTGATTGCTGCATTACTTTATGTCAGGGTTACTTTGTGTTCAGATAATGGAGAGTAGAGACATCAATCTGCACTCACACTGCATGTTTGGTTGATACGCACTGGCGGGAATGACATGAAACAGTAGTAAAACTGTAGAAAAAAAAAATACATCCAATCATCAGAAAGTCAGCTTTCATTGTTAAAATGCTGCTTTTGTACACGAACCATAACTTGCAACGAACAAGTCTTTAAGGCCTCACATGGTAGATTCATATTGAAGGCTTCAGTGCATTTTTTAACCACAAGAGCTGAGATTTTCATTTCTAACCTATTAAAAGTTTTAGTTGGTTCAAATAGCGATGCTCACTGTGTTGCTAACTGGCACACTGACTAGTTTCTCATTCACAGTGAAAATGAAGTGATTCACACCGGGAATTTTTCTTGTTTATTTAGACTGTAAATGCTTCAAAATGCCTCCTTTGCTTTGAAATGATGCAGAGGGGAAAAAAGTCAAAGGGAAATTTTGTGCATTTTCATGTTTTTTCAGATATAATTGTCTTTTATTAACTGGCCTCCTGACATTTTGCAAAAGTGGCTGGCCAAGCATGTCGAGCATCCCTGGGTTAAAGCCTGTAAATCAGTGTCATCATGTGCCTGCTAACTAATATCCATACGCTGTTAAAAAATGAAAATCCTGGATGTTGTGTTCATGTGCACTCTGCATCTGTGCTTTTTTACGTTTCACAGAAAAAAAACTGCAGCATCGTATTGTTTTGATGTTAGAAAATATAGTGTACAATTTGTGGTTTTGCTCTTTATTAAGCTCTGCAGAAGGATAAGCTCATAGGTATAATAATGCAGAACTACACAGAGTGTGCTGTACGTGTGGGCACCAGCTCTCCAAACACAGCGACTGACCTCCGAGGAACGAGCGGATGAAAAGTGTGAACAACATGACAAAACATGTGTAACGCAGCGGCCATCAAACCAACAAGGGGGATGAGGATCACCACTTGTTTGGACAGAAGTCATCAAAAGGCCTCATGTTTCAGGTCAGAAGTGGTGATATCGATTTCCTTGAAGTTATTCCGAGGCTTTTTTGTTGTTGTTTTTTTTAAGAAGTCAAAATAACATTTGAGTGAATGTTTTGCAGAAGATGTTGGGTCAAAAGGAATGTGGTGTGTGTCACAACATACTCAAACCTCAGCGGAGAACCAGATGTTTGCTGCCTGAACACAGAACAACCACAGCTCATTGAGGATGATATATTTGCCCCTGTGGGACACAATGTAAGTGGTGCGGTTATTTCTGAAAGTCTGTCGTCCCCGGCGAGGTGCATGTGAGGTATGAACGAAGGCCCACCAGGGGCAGAGGGTGGCAGGGTTGTACTCTTCAGCGAGCAGCTGGCCTGTGGAGTCCTGCCACAGAGGGAGACAGAGGGTGGCGGCTCCGTTACATTTACACCACACTCATTGTAACATAATCTGATTTTAACATGGTTTTACATCAGACTTGCTACATAAACAAAAGTCACACACACTTTAGTGCAGATGTAGGAAGTCTTTAAGTTCAATTTCAGTGTGAAAAAAACTGCAGATGTTACGACACTAAGAAGAACAAACACTGAGACGAGAGGGCTCTGACGTAGTTGCTGTGAAGTCTGCATTAGTTTATGGTAGTTTTACTTTATTTTGTTAGGATAATGATAATCTGCACTCACTGCATTTATGAAAAAAAATGTGTGCAGGATTTATAGTGAATGAGCTAAAACTTGCAATGAACCCTTCTTTTTGGGCCACATGAGCAGTTTTGTCTTGAAATAGACGTTCTATTTCAAACTACAGATGCTGCAGCGCTGATGAAACTGCACACCTGATGAAATCAATTGTCTTAACAGATATTAATTAAGGGGTACGCAGGTCTGTGTGCCTTTATTAGTGCTAAAATGGCACATTAAAGATAAGTGGGAATGAGGCTTTCTGAAGAGGCATGGGAGGAAATCTGCAGTTTCCAGTGTCCCTTAACCAACTCTAATGATTGGAGAGAACACTGTTGGAAGAACACAGTTACATACTTTAAGACTCCATATCAAGAAAAACATATGAACACAAACTCAGAGTGTTGGAGGCAATGTGGCTTAGCGGAGCCAAACCACTTCTACGTATTCTGGGCTTGTCTTAAATTAAACCAATATTGGAGCAACATCCATAAAACAATAAATAAGGTATTCAAGGTTCAACTACCCTTGAATTTTGAAAGTCTATATTTGGGAAATGTTGTCTGAAGCTGAGGAGGAATATAAAGCTGCTGCAGGCCCTTCTGGCTGCAAGTGAAAAAAAAAAAACATCACTAGGAGATGGCTAAAACCATCACCACCTACAGTGGAGGACTGGTACGGTGCAATCTTGGAAATTTTCAAAATGGAAGTGGAAATGGAAGAGTTCAGTTGGACTCATTTCACTAAATATGCAATAAATGGATCCAATGCAAAGCCCCAATTAGAGCGGACTTTGCACAGCCCTCCGAAAGCTTCAGAGAACCGCTCCTGCTCATCCACTAACTCTTCTCACATCGCTGGAAATGCTGGAAATGTAAGCTCCCACAGTTCATTTGTTCTATGTTGTGTTTGTTTGGTATCAACAACGGGTTGATGAAGAAAGGTCAACAAGCAATACAAGGGAAACGAGCAACGAGGATGGCGGTCACTTATGGTCAAGTGGGTTGAAGAAGGCGAAACAAAGCCTGAGAACATTAAGACTTACCCTCTGGGATGTATTTTGGGGGATTTTGCAGCCCCGACGAGTTCAAGTACAGACTCCAAACAACACCAGCATCCAGTGGAGAATTTCAGCCAAGGACTTATAGGTGCTCACACACACAAAAAGACTGGGAAAGGACATTGAACAAGCATATGTGCCTTTCGGAAAATGTTCAACTATTTTGTATTGCCTATTCCAAACAACAACAATAAAAAAAAAAAACATTAAAAAAAATTCATTGTTACTAAAAAAAAAAGGCCAAAGCTGAACATAATGTTCTAATCCAAGATAAATATTTTCACAAATTTGTTCTTTGACAATATGTGACTGTAAAATGAAACTGCTGTACTGTATTTAAGTCAGCTAAAAATGTTATTGCTTCCCATATATTGCCATTATTTGAAAGAAAAAATGTGTATATCAAAGATTGAAAATTTGTAAATATTTTTTAAAAATCTATGACATATTTCCTTAGTTTGCTAAATTACTGATAATATCTAGTAAATTTACAAAATAAAAATATAAATTTACATCTTAATGATACTTTTTTTTTAAAAAGACCGGAACTGTGCTTTATGTCCACATCAAAAATCTATATTTTTACAAATAGTAATTGGTTCTTTCATGATGCACACCTGTAAAATCACAGTTTTACTGTATTTAATTCAGCAAAAAATATTGGCATTGTTCCAAAACAAAAAAAATGTTTTGTAAAATAAGAATTTTAAAACGGTAAATAGTTGTTTAACAGCTGTTTTACAGATTTCTCCTGTTTTGTTAAATTACAAATATCTGGTAAAATCACAGCAACAACGACAAAAACATCAAAAATCTGTATTTACACCAAAAGCAAACTGTTCTTTTATAACATGTGGCCCAAATCTACAGTTTTATTGTATTTAAATCAGCCGAAAGCATCATTATTTTACAGATATTTTCCTTTATTTTCATTTTTTTTTCAGCTTTTGAACATAAGTGAATTCCACCATTTTTTATTTTTTACGTTTATTTTTATTGATTTTTTTTTTTTTAACATTGTGCCCTCATACTTTTACACATAGCAGAAAATGTATTTATATTTTGTTCAAGCTAAGGCATACCTCTCCATGTCAGTCTTATGTAATCAGTAAAAAAAAAAAAAAAAGTTTGGATATGTATAAAAGAAAAAGCTCAGTCGTCTTTAAGCAAAGTTCTTAAAAGGTTCCCTGGAGGTTTCCGTGTGCTGAGTTATTTTTGTGCTGTCAAACATTGCATCATCCCACCTCAAAACCGCTTCATGTCAGGGCGGAATAAAGCTGAATAAAAGCGAAATAAAATAAAATTAAAACAAATAAACAAATAAAAACTAGATATCAGTATTCAATGGTAACCTCTGCAAACGTCAAATTTTTTTTTGTCTTTTTTCGGTTTATATAAATAAATATGTGTTTATAAGTGAAACTACTCGCCTCTAATCACACCCCCCCTCTCTCCTCCGTCGTCTGCCGGTGCCCGGGGCTGCTGGGAGTCCGTCTCCCCCCCGCACAGGGAGCTTTCAGTGGGCAGAGAAAAAGTTTTTGGACGCTCACGGTGTCTTGGACGTAGCTGCTGAAAAAGGAGCCGTTTCCTGCCAAATAGTGCGCCGGTCTAATCGTGACTGCAGCAGCTACTTCCTGCATTGTTACAGTGCTTAATGAGGATTAAGTTGAAGCTGTCATGTTGTACCGGGCGGCCATTAGGCCTCCTCCACACGGAGAGAGAGAGAGAGAGAGAGAGAGAGAGGCGGAGAGGAGCCGCATGCTGGGCCTCCTCACACTGATCCTTCACCTGCACACAACCTCACTGTCCTCTAACTGATGTATTTTTAAACCTGGTGTAG